CGGGTACACGAGAGCTATCTCGTTGAGCACGTAGACGAGAGCGATAAACGTCTAACGGAATTTTATGTGGGACCAAGAAACAACCTCAAAGAGATTTCCGTGTGGCAAGCTCATCATCCGTTCTGGCCGAGGGCCCGATGATGTGGACGCGTAACGATCGAGTTAACGCGTCCTTCGCTACCACAGTGGGATCCGCTGGGCGGAAGTCATGTTCCACAAGGGGTTCAATGACCGAGCGTGGATGGGCGCGCTTTAGAGCCGCCTTATAGGCAGCTTCAAGCTGCTACCTTATTTCCCCGTCAATGCCATTGGTGATTACACCACGCACAGTTGACGAGAAGTCAGAGAACGGACATGGGGTCCGCAAGGCGCGAGCAAGGCTCGTATCGCGCCGCTGGCGCAGCTCGCCTTCCTCGTCATCCCAAGCGGAAAAAAGAGTGTCAGACTCATATTCGACAACCTTCACATCCTCAACGAGGCCACTAGGCACTGAAAGCGTGCGCGGAGCGCGACGTTTGTGCTCATCGAGCCTAGAATATACATCCCTCGGTGCTGCGGACGCACTGTCCGACGTTGCACCGAGTGTGAGACGACGAAGTTGGGCTCTGCCCCTGCTCGCCTATAGAACCAGCGAGACTTGGAGATTTTGGTGTCATTGACACAAGGCTTATTGAGAATGGAAGTCGTTTCGATAAGTTGCAGTGTCTGGCAGACGCGCGAGCCTCATTGAAGCAATAAATGATTACAACTCTAAATGTTCTCAATTTTAATGGGGTTGGGTGTAACGGTGTTACACATACCCTGATATCAGGGGGGTGTCACAAGAGATGTGCATGGTGTGACCACACCCAATCAAAATTTCGTACGGGGTAGTCAGTAGTTATGCATGTAACTATTTTATTGAGGAAAATCTAAACATTTAAAATTAGGCGACTTTGCAGATTAAAATAAATAAAAATCAGTTTGAATTTAAATCGAAGAGTCTATTAGCCTTAGTTTAGGTACTAACTAAGTAAAATCAGTTTTGGATTTTAAACCGAAGCGTCAATTAGCCTGGGAAAGCGGATTGCGATCTGCAAGCTCATACGTGGTTCTTGTAAAGAACAAAAGGTGGATCCGCCGAGCGGAAGCCATACTCCACACGAGATTTTGAGACCGAGATCTGCCGTTTGCGCAGCCTCCATTTGCTGCTGCTGTGC